TTATAATAGAATCTGATAGAAAAGTGTATCAACCTGCCGTAAAAGTAAACTTTTTCGATAAAAAAATAAATTATTAGGAAACAGGCAAAATCTATTATATTTTCAAAATATTCCTAAAATTATACACGAGTAAAAATGTCAATTTCAATATAAAGTGAACGGTAACTAACAAAAGAATTAAATAATATGTGCATAATAGTTCCTGAAGTCGTTATTAAAGCATAGTACTCATATAAAGAAGATTTAAATCGCTGACGAATCACGAAGATATCACGTAATATATATACAATAAAATCATGCAGTCGAATTGAGAACCTCCTTTTTTGAAGACAGTTAAAAATAAAATATCTTAACCGCAAACATAACCTCTATAACGAGTATGTTTATAACACACGAAAATAAAATCAAAACAGATAACAGGAATATAAAACAAAAGCTTTTTACATAAAAGCTAAAGATGGCGGACTGCACAAATAAAAACTTTTTATATGGAATCTAATATACATAAAAGCCCCGATATATCGGAAATAATTTAAACAATGTTATGAAATGGTAATCACATAAAATGTTCGCATGTATTTACTTACAATAAGCACCTATTAGGCGTGCATTCAATATATATATTTACGTATATAGACTATAACACATACCTAGTGTACCACATGACGCGTCTAGGGACAGGGGATGCAATGTCATCACAGCGATTAATTAGTGGAAAATGAACATCGCACCGTTCGACATTTTCAATTACAGCTATCTGAAACAGAACTGGATTACCGAATGGCCGAAGGGAATAGTCGAGCCGTTTTAATTCAGGCATAACGGAATTAAGCTCTATCCGCGGATATATTCTGTTAAAATTTGGTTATCCGAACAAAATGAAACAGACCCTCACCAACGAACGAGGGCTCCGGGACCCGGGCCTAGGGTTGCAGAATTTGTAAACTGCAACTATATTCCAAAACCGATGGTGATTTCTGTTGTGTTGCTGGAAAAACTTTTTTTACTTACCAACTACTTTTAAGAGATTTTGTTGCGTTTATTTTAACTCTTTCTTTCTTATACTACATCAGCCGTTACGCATTTTTTGACGCTGCTTTCTAACGCAGGTAAGGAAATTTTATATCCGGCTTATACGAGGTGGCATATCGCTATCTTTTGGAGGCTATGAAACCTTTATGGCATTTCCCATAGTTCCGTAGGATTTTCTTACGCTGCCAACATATAGCAATATATATTTTTCTATTAGTATAATATTTTTTAAACACCACGCCAGGATGTATTTCTAAGTACAGTTTACAGTCATAAACTACACAAATACAAATATCAAGACCCGGTAGGACCACGCTGTAGCTATATTATTATGTTTGTAGTACGAATAGGTCGGCTCGACCGAGGTAGGACCATGCTCTCACAGAATACCAACGTAAAATAGCAGCTTAACGCTGCTGTTTTGCAAACGATGAGTGTAGAGAACCGGAGACTTTTTTTACAGGAAACGAGGCATTCCATCTCAGTCCTTAGGGGTGACAACGCATCTGTATTTTATTTCTTAATTGAGAATAAATGTAGATGCCTATGAGCCGCAGCATCCACTTGCCATCAGGTAGACTGTGTGCTCGCTTGTCACCTTTATTCTATAACTAAAAAGTACCAAACCCGCGACCCTCAGCACCGCAGCTGAATGCTAGGCCACTCTACTTCAGGGCTGTCATTCAAATTCTGTTATTATTCTATGATCTGTTCTATAACGCTTATTTACTCAGATATTATGTTCCAGTTGTATTCGGTAAAACGGCCTAACCATATTAAATTAGGCAGCTGTAAGATTCCGTTTGGGATACCAAAAACTAAGAGCAAAAAAAACCAACGACGGCTCAAGTTTTGCCCGTCCTCCAAATTAAGAATGACAATAAATTTCTTCTTGGCTCACCGCGAAATATTTCGGTGTTGGATTTTAGTTATTTTTTTATTTAGACCAGGTAGGCCTTCTAACACTGGCTAATACAATTTTGGTAGCAGCGAGTTTATGTAATGTATCGGTATCAAATTAGAGTTATTCATTTTCAATTTGTTATATTTGTTTAGGCATTGACGCCTAATATCAATAATATAATTATGGGTGATTATATTCTTTACTTATTACACACTTGTAACTATAATTATTTAAAAAAATACATTATTAATAAGGCGATTTCTGGAGAGGATCGCCGTAAACACTTTAGTAACAGATAGCACGTAAACGGTAATAATACGCTGTTTCTAAATGTTTTACGCTGAATATGTATTTGTATTCTAAGTTTTCTCTATCAATGACACATTAATGGTAAAGATGGTGATTTATAGGTAAGATATTTAATCGTAATAAGAGTAATATATTCGAATATCTGTTATTATATGTAATGCTTCTTATGGAGATTTCTAATGACGTCTGATACAAAATAAAAACTAACGGCGAATATACCGGACATAAAATATACCGTCTTATTTCATTCTAGTTGTATACAATCCACTGTCTAGCCGAATCTTATAAGTAACAAGTCGAACAAGAGTTGGGGAGCATCTGGCGCGCACGGCATTAGTATGTTGATGAGGCAATCCCGATCACTTCGGGGATAACGTGATTTATTCCTGCACCAGGTCTGCTAAAGTGCCTTATAAGAATTTAATATATCGTGTGATAAATCAGATCGCGACATGTCCAGCGCTGGGCTAATGATCATGTATAAATATTGATTTCACTTTGACCCTGTATAATGAAGGAATAGTTTGAAATATCTTATTTATAAGGATAAAAATTTAAAAAGAACGTATAGTTGCCAAATGTTAAGTTACTTGCAACCGATAAAACCTGTATTTTTTTTAATATAAAATAAAGGTGAAAGACGAGCACACAATACACCTGATGGTAAGTGAAAGTCATAGACCTCTACATTTCTCTTCGCTTATAAATCAATATGCAGATGCGTTGTCATCCCTGACGACTAATATGGAACGCCGCATTTCCAGCAAAAGGGGTCTCCGGTTCTCTACACCCGCCATACAAAACACATCAGCATTAAGCTGCCATTTACGCTGGTATTCTGTGACCACGTGATCCTATCCCGGTCGAGCCGATGAATTCGTACAACGTACAAAGATAGGACGAGTTCTTGACTGAGGCGAGAAATGCATTCCAAAAATGTTAACGCTTCATTTAGCAATGACGTGTTGAAGAGCTTCTCACAGGCTACATCTTTAAACAGAGTGCGATCTCAAATTTATGGAACCAGAATCACTAATAGGTTGTGCCATGAGATAACGCAGTATTCGTTTCACTTCATCCCACGATATAACACATTAGAGACCTTAATAGTGCGGTCGTTGACCGTCTGCTCCATGTTAAATGCATTATGGCCCGTAAGTTGCCAACAAGTCTCCAGGTGACGACGTTTGGATCGTAATGAACTGCAGCATAATGCAAATCAGACTGGTGTGCAGTGTTCATCACTAACGACTACAATGTACCCGAAAAGGATATCTGGTAGAACAAAATAATTTTGTGAAACCCAGTGGAAAGGTCTAGGAGGGAGCCAGTGTGATAGTCAAGAACTCGTGATTTTGAGAAGAGGTACTCAGACTTCACATTTTTTCATTTATACAGAAAACCGGCCAATACTAAACTTGATTTAGAATAATTCCCAAAACATGGCGACTCAAAACGTGCACAGTAGTTACATTTAGCATTCTGTGCTTTTAGTAAGACAACGATGTGTAATGCCACGAATATAAACAATATAAGATGATGTAAAATAATGTTTTATTATACAGTAAACCCTCGTTAACACGAACACGAAAAAAACAGAAAAATAAAAAATAAAGTTCGTGTAATCCGAACAATGCAAAAAGTGAATTCGTGTTTCTAAACTCAATATTATGATTCATCATAGAAACATTTTTATTAATAACTTTGATTTTATTATTTTATATTTACAATAATTTTTAAAAGCCAAATTGTTAAGAAGCCTTTGCTTTTGTTAATTAGTTTTCAAAAGTTTACAACCTTTTCAATAGCTTTTGTAAGACGGAAAGAAAATGTAAGGTATTGTTTCTATTTTTAGGTACTCGAGTGAATGTTTGATTAGTATAGCAATCATTTGTCTATTTTTAGAAACTCGAGTTAATGACTTTTCTAATCTCTTCAGCATTTCGCTCATTTGGAGAAACATCGACGTAAATGTAATTTTTTCCAAAAATTAGATAAATATGACAAATCACTTAGAAAGTGTATTTACGTTAGGAGAAACAAAGACGTAAATCAACTTCAGTCTATTTATCGGTAGGTAGCGCTAGCGTCGTTGTTGCATTTATGCTAACTCGCAAAGATCTCGCGGAAACAGCGACGCATCGGTCAGTTGCGCGGGGAGCTCCACGAAGTGTATTTGTGTTTGGGTGCTACATTGACGTAACGGTAATTATGACATTATTTTTCGTTCTTTTTGGGGCTACAACGACGGAATGAACATTTTCGACATTGTTGTTCCAAAATATATTTGTTTTTGCAGAAGCAATGACATAATTTTTGTAATTTCCTATTAGTAATGTCGTTGTTGGTAGAAAAATATTATTATTTGGTTCAAATACGCTTAAACATTGCTTTGTTAATTATTTAAATATATATACATTTTAAAAAGAGCAATCCAGCTTATTTTCACGATACCTGGCCAAGTATTTTTGTTGTGTTGTATTACATGAAATGTTCGTATAATTCTTTTTGTCTGCGTGAAGTCGCAGTAAACTTCCTAAATTCCACGTGGGATTATTTTAGTCTTTGAAGTTAGATTTACTTTTTAAAATTTCTTTTATGTTGTATCATGTACAGTTAATGCATTTCACGAGCACGCGTCAATAGTTGTAATTTAAACCTTATGTGAATGTAAATAAAAGTCACATGACGCGCGCTGGTGATTTATAATTTTGTTTTGATTTCCTATTCATTTATTTTTAGGTTATTTACAATAATGGAAGGACGTGGTAGAAAGTTGATCAATTTAGTAATGGATAGACACGAACCATCATCTATTGACACAATGACGTATTTAAATAATGTCAATATTGTTGGTGTTGCTGATCAGAGTGGGAATGGTACGTGTAAAATAGGCAGACAACTAGACTGTTTTTTATTTTGGTTTTGTTTTGCTATAATTTATTAATTTTCTTTTAGCCAATAGAAATGAACAAGTTGAGAGTATTTATTCTGACTTGCCAAGTTTGCGAAACTCTCCGTATCACAATGAAGATATTTCAAGCATTTTTAATAACGTCGCAGAGTATGACACAAGTAAACACGAATCAGAAACCTTCGAATTCCAACCTGTTCGTGATCTTAAGAAATCTACATCAACTTTATCCTCATCTAGCTCTGATTCTGAAGACTCGACTGCAAGTAAGTCGATTTTGACACAAGGAAACGTTTCCACATTAGAACAAGACAACTATGTCGTTCCTCTTGTGTCTGAATTCCAGCTCCATTTACCAGCCAATAATAACTCGCAACCAGAAATATCTGAATTAGTTTTACCAAAATCCATCGAAAATAGTGCAAATGTAGATAGCAAATATTTAAAATCAGACTGTGAAGATTTTTCACCCGATGACAGTGGTGATGAACATCGGCCATCAAAACGCACTCGCAAAATGTCTTCATCTAGTTTAAGCAGTTCATTTTCATCGTCATCAAGCTCATCATCAAGCAGGTCCACTTCTTTTCACTCTACTACACGCAGCTCCAACTTAATGCAATCTGGCGAGACTCTCGAGGTTATATCACAGCAAAATAATCATTCCAGTAACAGTGTGATGCCAAATGATGGATCACCCCAAAATACAGATAATATTGTTCAATCTCCTAATAAAAATAAAAAGAAAAGGGTGAGGAATGAGGCTCAGTGGAAGAAAAATAAAACAAAACAATTAAAGAATTTGGGTAAACAATATACATCTCGCACTGGTAAAACTGTTCCTGCCAAAGCAATGAAGCCGCCTTGTTCAGATAAGTGTCAATATTAGTGCTCGAACAAATTTTCAGAGGAGCAGAGGCGTGAAATATTTAATATCTATTGGGCTTTATCATCATTTCAGAGACAACGTGATTTTCTTAATTCTGTAGTTATGGTATTCCTACCAGCCGTGCGTCGTGTCAGAACAACGATAAAGAATAGAAAACCTAACACATACTATTCCCTAGTCAACAATGGGCAAAATGTAAGAGTTTGCAAAACTTTCTTACTAAACACATTGGGAATTGCGGATAGAACTTTACGCACTGTGATCGAGGCTAAAACAAGTGAAGGCTTTCTAGGCAGTGCACCAATGGACAGTCGTGGCAAGCATGATCATCATATTAAAACTGATCCAGAAGTCTTGGACTCCGTTAGATAGATAGAGAGAAAACTGCTGCAAACTATGATTTATACTACCGAACATTTACTAAAGAGTTTAACATTTCTTTTTTCATCCCCAAGAAAGATCAGTGCAATCTATGTGAATCTCGTAAAAATGCAGTTGACGGTGATGAAGTATTAGAAAATCAATATTTGGAACATCTGCGCCAAAAATAACTCAGTCGAGCTGAAAAAAAGAATGACATTGAGACTTGTAAAATGGCGGAAAGCAATAGCATTGTAGCTATATTTGATTTACAAGCTGTGATGCCTGTACCGATTGGAGAATCATCAGCTTTCTTTTATAAGTCTAAATTAAATTGTCTGAATTTAACTGTAAGTTACTCTTGACTTTTTTATTTCATAAACTACAATTTTATTTCTTAATACAATAAACTTCGATTAATTTTTTAGATCACTGATATAAAAAACAAGGAGACGATTTGTTACTTCTGGCATGAGGCTTTAGGAGGTCGGGGTGCAGTTGAGATCGGTTCCTGTGTCTACAAATTCCTGCAAAAAGTATCTGATAAATATCCTAATTCTGACGTTACGTTTTATACCGACAACTGCTGTGGACAGCAGAAGAACAGGTGAGTTGGATAAATGAATTGACTGTTTTCAATAATTCTACATTCTTAATCTACCTAAATTATGAATATTAATGTAAATACTACATTTTATTTTAACGTTTCCAGATTCATTTTCTCAATGTATCTGTATGCCGTCAAAACATTGTCTGTCTGTCTGTTTTCTGTCTTTTTGTCTTTCTGTCATAGAGGTACCGCAATAAGGTTATTGAGATTGTAGAAGTATTTAACGTCTTTAATTTTCCAATAATAGCCAACGACTCCGAATCTTGTGTTTGATATACTGATATGGATTTTAATTTTTGTGTAAGTTATTTCAACAAAACAAAAGTAAAAAATCAGGAGGGTAACGTGATAGCACGTCGTTAACAATATTGCTTCTACCCGATATATATTGTACTTCGTAATTAAACGTTACCATCGGGTGACTCTACCATTGAATGATTTTATATTATTAATCTATATATATAATAAATCTGTAGAAAAGTCGTGTCTGTAATTCAAGGAGAAAAAAAGAATGTTTTGGAAGAAACAAGTCCAGGGAACTAGACGTGAACTTCTACTTTCTTACTCTTTAGCCGTATGCGCCAGTGAGCAATCTGATTTTATCATTGAGGTACTGTAGACCGGCAGAAATTGGCCTCGACCGCTTTAACGAGAGACTAAAAAGCTCTCCTGTCAGATACTTTGGCTGAGAGTTTTGCGGCGGTGTGTTAAATGCCGTCGAAACTCACTAGCAGGAATGAATTTTTACAGGACTTGGCAGCTTGGTTAAGGCTCTTTTATTATGGCTAACATCCAAAGCTTTGCAGTCATAAGCATCGACCCAGGATAAACACGCCATACGCTTGTGTTTTTTGAACGGGTGTATTCGGAGTAAAACCATGGGTGAGCTTTACAATCAATGGGCACGTCAGCAAAGGGTATGAAATACTGCACCCTGAACCCTCTTCAAACGAGAAACAAATGCCGCCAAGGATAGGATGCAAATAAATGCCACATCTTATACCAATCTGCTTAATGATTTCTTATATTTACGCGAACACTACACATTGAAATAATACTAGTTTTTACGGAATTTATCGCGTATATTTAACTTTTTAATTACCCGACGTTTCGAGAGCTTTACAGCACCCATGGTCACGGGAAGGACTGAGATGTTCAAAGTCCAGCTGTCATAGTTAACCGCGGTTACCATAGATTAAAATTTAACTTTTGTTCCGATTTACACAGTATGAACTTATGGTATCATGGAGTCTTGCAGTTGTATGCTTGGGTTGGGATTTAATTTTATTTATTATAGGATCCCAAGCAGATGGTAGCACCCAGCCATCTTCTCTATTGAAATTAGGATGTTTTTTGATTTCAATAGCCTCGCGAATCATCCTTGGAAGGAATCGGTGTTCTTTAGCGAGGATTTGTGGTCTATCAAATCTGATGTAGTGACGGGGGGCGATTCTGTACATGTTCACAGTGCAGGAAGTCTGAATAAAATTAAATCCCAACCCAAGCATACAACTGTAAGACTCCATGATACCATAAGTTCATACTGTGTAGATCGGAACAAAAGTTAAATTTTAATCTATGGTAACCGCGGTTAACTATGACAGCTGGACGTTTGAACATCTCAGTCCTTCCCGTGACCATGGGTGCTGTAAAGCTCTCGAAACGTCGGGTAATTAAAAAGTTAAATATACGCGATAAATTCCGTAAAAACTAGTATTATTTCAATCTGCTTACTTGTATCGCCACATTCACCGGACTTCTTGAAAATCATAGTTGGGTGGTAAAAATAACGACAAAGATTTCATCAGACTGTTCCCAAGGGAGACCTAAATATCGTACCTGTCCGGATCGGTATCTAACAGAATTTCCAGGCAGGTTGCTGTGTGGAGCTGTGTGTACTAACTAGGATACTCTTTGTGGATGGGCATCCACAAAGAGTATCCTAGTTGCTTGATTTAGCAGCTAGGAGATCCTCAGCGACAACGAAAAATTCCACGCTTCTCTCCCAGCGTGGTCGGTCTGCTGGTATGGGAACAGCCAGTCCTGATGTCAGGCATTAAAATGTCTCAGAAAAACCAGCTGTGCAGTGAGTTACCAATTTAGAGTTACATCAGAGACCTCACTGAGGTATTCAAACAACTATATTACTAATATAACCGCAGCATGGCTCTACTACGTATAAAAAACTGATAGTAAGTGGATGCTATGGTCCATAGACATCTACACCTCCTCGGTTAAGAATCAAAATGCAGATGTGTTGTCACCTCTGAGGACTGAAATAGAATGCCTCGTTTCCAGTAAAAAGGGTCTCTACACTGTTGTCTACACTCACCATTCGACGAAACACATCAGCATTAAACTGCTATTTTACACTGGTATTCTGCGAGGGCATTTTCCTACTCCGGTCGACACGACCCATTCGTGCTACAACAATAATATAGCTGCAGCGTGGCTCTACCACGTAAAAACATTACATTGTCGAATTTAATACTTAACTCACTGTGACGATACTGAAACTTCAAATTAAGTTTCAAGAACTAAATTTTTTAAGTTTAAAATGTTTTACGATAGGTCGAAAACATTGTGAAATCTTAACGCGCTACGAATTAAAGATAGGTAATATGTTGACCCCTGTGTATTTACATACGTTATTTACTCCAAATATTACGTAGCCGACAATATGGGATCATTCGAGACAATGCCGGGAGGTATGTAGTTCTGGTATTCACACTCAAATTTTTTTGTAAAACGTTGTTAAACAAAATATTTTTACAGTCACTGTATTAACTTTATAAACGGTTAATAGAAATTCCTGAAAGTCAAGATTAATTGATTATGTTATTCTTTATTGTACCAAAGATTTTGCAGAAAAGGCGAGCTGACTGCTATATTGCATTCTATACCAGCTAATCTTACCATGATCGAATTCAATAATTCAATTAAAATCATATATCCAACACATACACAAAATATACACATACCACTATAATATAAAAACAATCGTTGTGCGTTAGTCTCGCAAAAACTCGAAAATGGCTCGACCGATATTGATTAAATTTTTGTGTGGGTTTGAGTGGTTGGTATAAAATTAAAACCTCAGTTAGACACGGTAGGTGGCGCTGTTGTCGAGATTCAGAAATCACCCGTGTGAAACCGGTGTGGAACGCTAGTATAAAAAATATATATTTGACATACATATTTAAATAAATACATACATTTATACATTTATATATTATAAATATATCTAAATCACTTTTAAAATAGAAAGTAATTTGAGCTTTGTAGGCTACGGATGTGTTCGTATAGTTTTAAAAACATCAAATTAAAAAAAAAATATTATTTGATTCTAAATGGGTAATACATGTGTGAATCAGAGTATTGATGATCCTGTATAATTTTGAGGTTACTTTAATATCTATGACATGTACTGTCCATGAACAGACCTTGATTTCACACGAAGTTCAAGAAGTGGAATACTTCTAACTTGAGTTTTATATAAAACTGAAGTAACAAACGAATTTACAGTCCTCCTGATATTAAATGGTTACTGCGATCCGTGGGGACATGTAGACAACTTCAAACAATGAAGGCTGCAGATGCGTTATTACCTTTGAAGACAAAGACGGAATACCTCACAGCCTGTAAGTATATTTTCTCTCTTTATTCTTCAGATCGGAAAACGGTAGTGTAGCCGTTGTTATTTAACAGAAATAGAAATAGGTTAGTTAGAGGGTACTACCAACCCAGACGGACTCCTATCTATGGAGTGTAGAAGTAAGGAGTACCAACTCCCATAGGAAAATATTTGAAAAAGTGTCCATCTGTAAGCAGTAAATAACAGTTCTAAAACTCTCCACTACAGCGCTCGAGTAGCTACGGGGTATGTTAAATCGCCGTAAAATACGTTGAGAATTGAGAATGATTTTGAAAAAACAAAAATTTTGAAAGCAATAAAATAATTATTGTAAAAAGAATTATGGTAATAATCTGTGCAATAAAAAATTGTAAAAAGTTTTTTTTTAAATCTAGACTGTAGCTACAGTGGCGCCATCCTTATTTAACGCTTTCCTACGGATACTTTAATATACAGAGTGTACTCCTTACCTCTACCCTATCCTATTACCTATGGTGTTGCTAGCGTACCACGGTGCGTGCCCTGATCTACCGTGGCTTCTAAACAAAAACATCCTTTATTCTAGAGCTTTTCATAATTTTTTTATTCGCGCTTCATTTAGAATAAACGCCATCTACTGCCCAATGTCTGTACATTTTCCGGTATATGTAGAAAAAAATACATACAAAAAGCTTTCCGTATAAATATGCTATTATAGTTCTGTTGATTAATTCGTCATAATATATTATTAGAAACAATTATATCTAATTAAAAATATGAATTTATTTTGATCATTATGCTCTTTTTTGGAGTACATAGCATCGGCAACACAGTTTGTTTCGGTGCCCGGAAAAGAATTGTTTCCGCAAGCAATTGCACTATTATCTGAACTATAAAATTATGATCGTTGGAGATACCAATTTTCTGTAATTGGCTTAGCCTATCTTATTGATTTGTTAGAAAAAGCTATCACACCGCCCTCTATCACCATTTGTTATAAACAGCACGACAACCTACAAGTTTTGTAATTTTATATTTCTTTACAGTAGATGGCGCTTTTACAAATTTTCTTAAATTGATTTGGTGTGTTTCAAAGGTATAACTCTCTAGTGTGTAGAATATAATAATTCTCGATTTTAATGATTAAGTACTATATTTACCTTAATAACTTTCCATACAACAAAGCTCTGCTTTAACTAATACTTATTTGTAATATAACACACTAAATTAAATGAGACTGGCACACCCAGCTTGATGAAATAATGTTCACGTCGATGAATGGCCACCTCCTCATTCATGAACTCGGTGTTTGGCTCAAAAGTGGATAATATAATATCAGAAAAATATCTATGTCATATTATAACAATTCTTATTTAAAGTACGTTTAGGTACGTTTAAGTAGAGCCATTGTGCAGCTATATTATGGTTGTAGCCATTACCGTCTTTACCATAAGGGCACATGTGTGGTCTTATTCGCTTATGCTATACAATCTTTTTTTTCTATTTTAGGAATATATAACCCAACAAAAAAAATTATAGAATATATGACGGCGTTGTTAGTGACTTTCTGGCAACCCTGAGCGGTTTTTGCTGAGTTACCAGAAAAAGTGGAATTGACATATTTCCTAGGTAGAAAATATCAAGTACCGCATTTGGCCGCTATTTAAACGTTTTTGTCGGGCTGAGCTGAACATTCGCCATATTCTTATACCTAGCCTGATTTTTTTTTCATCAATCTATGTATTTATAATCGGTGAGATAAAAATATAATTTCGTACTGTTTAATAAAAATTACACTTCAAAAGATTTAACGGCAATTGATTTATTAAATATGATAATTTTCAAAAAAAGTTAATATTAGATTTTATAGCAAATAACTGTTCCAATCCTTATTTTTAGACAAGTGGAACCAAAATTTTAGTGTAATAAATAAAAAGAATACATCTATTCATGTTGATATAGAATATTTTCTTTTTTTTAAAGAAAGTTTAGAAAAAAGACATAGTTTACATTTTTCTAAGAAATTATCGTCCCCGCTATGAAATCTGTCAATTATTTTACCTCATTATAAAGAGGCGCCGCCCTGGTTGCAGAAAAAGTCGTGTAGTTCTCATTAATGACATATTATTTGAATTTTACCGATTAACAATAATAAATTTAAGATCATAGCAGAAAAATGTTTTTGTCATTCACTTTTTTTATTTTCCAACAGGGCCCCAAATTCTTGTGTGCCCAAGGGCCCCGGAATGGCCTAAGACGGCGTTGGTTGTAGCATGAATGGGTTGGCTCGGCCGGGGTACCACGGGGGACCACGCTCTCACAAAATAGCAGTTTAATGCTGCGGAGATTAGAGAATCAGAGACCCTTTTCACTGAAAACGAGGCAATTCATCTTAGTTCTCAGGGGTGAAAACGCAACTGCATTTTGATTCTTAATCGGGAGTAAATGTAGATGTCTATGAGCCTTTAAATATTTTGTGGTAAGATTTAGTATAGACGAAGTATTATCACATAATTACTTTATATTTAACATAATGCTATTATTTTCAGTATAAGACGTGAAGTAAAATTGTAGGAAGGGCGTCAGAGAACCCATCATTCCATTATAAGTATTTCCATTCGTTTCCAATATAAGTAACGTACCTATGTGACTTCCGATAAACGTTGATATCACCCAAAAGAAAAAGGTCCGGCCTGACATCCGTTTAATGTTTATGATATTTGGAACCGCAATTGTCAGTCAATCTGGTCAGCGTAGTAAACCCCCTTTGATTTGGAAAGAGAATTTTTCAACAGTTTACTATTTACAACTCTATAAAAAAATGAAAATGAAAACTTATGCTATATGATGGCGATGTATCACACTGTACCGCCCACGGAACAAATTGGGGTGAATTTTTATTGTATGCGAGCAGCTATGCAGGTCTAGGGAAAGAGACCAGTATCAGTGTGACCTAAAAGATCTATTGCGATCACTGCTATGGCTATACTTCACTGCTAAGCCCTATGTATTCAATGAATAGAAGGAGTTGCTTAGCTGTCAGCAATTTCACTTCTTCTGGGCGGAGTACATAGTTTCCCAGATGAGTGTTACGTTTGCGCATTAAGGGTCCGCAATCAGTTACTCGTAGGATGTGTTGCATGATGCGTTTCTTCCGTTATGGAACAGAACCGACACATCCTTGAGTTGCTTAGTCCCAGGATGGACATGTGCTTTTTAAGACAACAGTGTCCAGTTAGGGCTCTTGCCAGAATGCGCAATTTTAAGGTGATTCTCTTCGTCAAGTATATGCCGAAGCAAAACATCTACAAAGGTGTGCGACAGCTGGCACTACAATTGCCAGTTCTCTTTTTTATGGAGTAAGAATGACAAACGAGCATACAGTCTACCTGATGGTTAGTAAATGCTATGTCCCATTAGACGTCTGTCACCCCTGAGGTCTCTAGTTTTCTACTCTCCCCATACAACCAATTAACATTAATATCAACATAACACAAGCGATATCTGGGACCACAATTTGGGACCACAATTTTTAATTCTCCTTCAATTTATTTTCTACATTTCTGACAATGAAACATTTTTTATAGGACGTACATATATAAACACTCACGCCTGTCACCCAGAGGGGTATGCAGAGACTACATTCTTCCATTTGGCACGATCCTGACACACGTTTCTCGCCTCCTCCACATTCATATAGCTACGCATACATGCTCGTTGGTTAAGGATACTCTTAATTTGACCCATTTTCAATATATCGTCAATTTGGTCGATAAACTTTCGCCTAGAACAGCCCTTTACGACTCTGCCGTTCACTTCTGCAACATGAATTTGCTTTGTCACTCTTTCCTCATTCATTCTTTCTACATGACCAAACCACCGAAGCATTCCTTTCTTAATCCTAGTCACAACATCATCTTGCAAACCACACTCTCTTATCACACAATTTCTCACCCTGCCACTTAGATTCAGCCCCAACCTACTACTTACGACCGCATTTCTACTGTGTTCATTCTACCCTCGTGCTTCTTCCGCCCACCCAACTTTCACTACTGTACCTTAAAATAGAAACCAACACAGCACTCTGACAGTGACTAATAAAATATTTTCTACATGTTTAAAGGAAGTCAATTATATTGATTACCAGCAGTCCGGCAATCGCCTGGCGTGGGATCTACTAATGTAGTCATTAAGTTTTCCTAAAATTATCATCGCTTACCATTTATTTTAATTTTTGGATCTCACAATAAATACTCCAAGTTTTTCGCATAAAATATAGCCACCTCACTGATCACTCCTGTTATTGCTCACTATCTGTTCGTTAAGTTTCAATACAACAGTTCACCATTTCAAACGGAACGCACGGTTCGCCATTCCAACACTTAGGCCGGACAGACAGACAAACAGTTGAACATTTAAAAATGGTTACTCACATAGAATACTATAATACACAATAGAATGGCTGTCAACCTTATTTTGTACGAGGATTGGCGATTCGCTGTGTTGACAGTGTAAGTAAATTTACACATTTTAGACTTTTGATTAACGTTCAAGATCATCATTAAAAAATCGTTTAAATTTTAATACATATTTATTTGTAAGGAGTGTGCGATTTGGCATTTTCTAAATAATTTGCATGGGAAATTTGGAAACGATTGTAACGTCAAAATACATCTCGTGTTGATATTTACACGTATGAATTGATATGTTAGTGACATTTTAATGACTCCACTCCCCCGTTCTATTATGTATGTATTATAGTATTCTATGGTTACTCATGTCTTCCTGGCATGGAAATATCTGGTATCCTTTCGGTCTCAGCTCAATATAAGACTAGTTATTTCGATATTCCAAACAGACGCTTCAATTTTATTTATATGTAACATAGAATGAAGAGCCGTGGTAATTCAGATGGTTAGCGCTCGCTGTAAATTACATTACGCGAGCAAACCGGGTTCGATCCCCGCCAACACCAATGAAATTGTTAGTTACAATTTCAAGTGCTGATTTACCACTTGGAGCTGCGCGGTGAACACTTCTATGATCTAAAACCCTCTCAGAAATGAGGAGAGGCCTGTGCCCAGTAGTGGGACGTAATTTGCCAATTTTCTATAAACATGTTAAGATTTCTCTATTATATATTGATAAACTATGAGAAAGATACAAGCTGACATGGCACGAGTAAATGACAGTTTTTGTGCTCAAGAATCAAGACGTCTAACGTAGATAAGTAGGGTAACGCTTTCGGACGCTTTTATATGTTGTAAGGGATTATATGAGACTTGCTTTATTATAAAATACTCTATCAATTCTTACGACTAAAAAACTGTATTTGATACTATAGGAATCAATATTACCAGAAACTAAAACGAAGAGCACAAGTAGAACAATTATGTGAACAACATGCGACCTTTCAAATGTTAATTCAAGTGTTAGATACTACCTATTTTAGTATTATAGAAAGATAAATACTCACGCCTGTCACCCAGAGAGGTAGGCAGAGACTACAGACTTCCATTTCCTCTCTCTCTCCTCCTTCACATCCATATACCTAACGCATACATGCTCGTCGGTTAAGGGTACTCCTAATTTGGCCCGTTTTCAATAAATCGCCAATTTGGTCGATAAATTTTCGCCTAGGACGTCCCTTTCAGAAACAGTGCCACTAATTTTGTTTAACAGTAAGACAAGAATAAATTTTCAATAAGACAATGTTGTTAACGTTAAAAAAAGAAAATATAAATCTGATTTAAAAAAATATTAGCACACATATATTAGATATCTATGGAAGCGACTTGAAAAATCAAAAACCTTTTACAATTGCATTCAAAACGCGTTGCTAGTTTTATTGCGTTATTTAAATTAATTAAATTTCTCCTACTAAAATTTTAACCTTTAATTGATATGTAACAGACAGGCTTACCTGTGAGCTTGATGTAAATTCATCCGCCGCCGGCTCCCTAGTGAATCGCTCAAACTTGAAGCTGTTTGAACGGTAGAGTTCGTTGTCGTCACGGGAACGCCGCCCGCGGCAGAACCTTCGAGTGATCGAAGTGTGCCTGAAAATATGTTGCCTCTTTGTTAACAACATAATACTACCTAGTTTTATTTACAACGGAAATATCTCTTATCTATCTATTCAATTATCGCTTACAAATAATCAATAGTACAATAGACTTGTAAGTTTTAAAGAGCCAATTAATTTTAATGATCAAGCTACAGTCACTTTAGAAGATAATAAAAAATCTTATATTTAAGCAAGTAATAAATTTACGGATTTTAGTGTTTAGGCGGGTCTACACTAGACGAGCCGAGCACGAACGGAGCATTAGCCGAGCACAAATTCGTATAGTGTGGACCACTTACAAGCCTCGAACGAGCGCGCTTCGAGCTTTTGGTTCGTGCTCGACTGTGCTCCGCCTATTGTCGGTTTTTTGACGAACACAAAGGGACTTGGATCGCATACATCGATTTGCATGTTATAGGCTCGTTGTAAGTCCACATTTGACACCGCGAGTAGAGCGGTTCAATTTGTGCTCCTCTAGCGTAGACCCACCTTTTAATTTTAGTTATTTGTAATCCCGACGACCCAAAGGGTCAGCTAAGCTAAAAAGCCGCGTAGACGACGCTATGATCTGAGAGTGTTTGATTTTCGAAAACATTTATTATAAACCACCATAATTAGAAACCTTTTTATATCTCAGTGTTTCCTAAAATACGCCAGCGGATAATTATGGATTTCTTGATAGGCGTTACAAATAGGTTATATAAATTGAAATTCAAAATTAGAGTTCAAAATATTTATTGTAAGTTTTGTTACATTTGGCGTGAATTTAAAATATGATGTATCTTTACATACGACCGCGTTAGTGCGTGTATTTTAATTGAAGCAAGACTTAATAAAACAAAATCAGTTTTACACGCGAGAGGACATTTGTACTTTTTTTGGAATCATAATTATGGCATCTAAGTCTAGTCAACGGCATTCTTCACATATTGAAACAATCTTGTATGGAATAAAGAATTACAATACAGGTTAATAGAGTCTCGCTCTATTGTATTAAACCTGCTCTTTCCAAGCTTCGGAGGTATTGCCAAATTAATTTAGATGGCGTTTAAGGTGTGCTTTTTCTAATTCAGCAGTGATTAATTAAAGTCAATTTATAGGACAATATTTAATAATATAATAATAAAATAATATAATAATTTTCATTTATAGGACAACAAGATGACCGCACTACCTCAGCCAGTCCTAATCGTAGTATGTGCTAGTAGTAGTACGTTTATGGTAAGTGACGATATCCGAAAATCATTTCTTTCTACTGGTAACACGGCATTTTGACGTCGTTGAATGTTAAAATTATCGTGAATTAATGTCTGAAGGCCACACAGCATCCCTAGATGCACTAGAAATGCGACGGTTTTATAGAGCATTATAAAACCGTCAACACTAAGTGAAATTTAGGTTCAACTTTTATAGCTAGATTACAATTGGTCGTCAAAACTTCGTCCGTTGAGTGGGTTGCACCGGCCACGTGCCGATTCAACTGACATTAGTATGTTCTAAATATACGTAATGATTTATCAAAACTGTCGTGGATTGCAGTATGCGAGTTTTAGAACAACGAACATAGTATATCTTCACTAGTACTTAAGTTTTGTACTTTATTTATAATTTCGATAAGATGGACAACTACGGATCTACGGAACTATGGATCTACTACTAATAAGCAAACCCTAAACTTACAATCTCGTCTAATATCAATGTTTACGTACCAACTCGTATGTTGTACCAACATTTCCGTATAATTCCGTAAATGCTATTTCAAAATATCCGTAATTCTTCAGACTTCTTAAGAGGATCGAGAATTTTTGTTTTTGTCATAGAATTGATAAATTTTTTTAGAGAAATTCTTTCTGTCATGTAAAATTCTTGTTGTAAGTCAATTGGCAACACGCACTGGTTGTATAGTGCGTGTTGCCAGTGATGACTTACGGATCTGAGACGTGGTCCTTCACTGCTGGCCGTATGAAGACGCTCAAGGTCGCTCAGCGAGCTATGGAGAGGGCGATGCTTGGAGTTTCTCTGCGTGATAGACTCAGAAATGAGCATACCCGCAGTAAAGCCAGAGTTACCGACATAGCCCAACGGATTAGTAAGCTGAAGCGGCAATGGGCTGGCCATATAGCTCGAAGAACCTATAACACATGGGGAAGAAAGGTTCTCGAGTGGCAGCCTCGTGTCGGTAGGCGTAGTGTAGGGCGACCCCCCCCTAGATGGAGTGACGACCTGAATACTGGCTAGACGAACTTCCCCAATTTTGAAAATATAACGTTTGGGCTTGCTGAAAATAAAAAAGGCATTAATTTTAATTCATTTTCAAATATGGAGTGGTCGAAGATAGAAGATAGAGTAGCTGTTATCGCGTTGCACCGCTGTGGTTACGCGCCAAGACATTTTCAATATTCTACAAAAATTGAAAATAACCCCACAATTTGTTTATCACACTATCAAACGATTCACTGAAGATTCAAGCTTCGAAGACCGTAAGAAGACCGGCCAACCGCATACAGTTAGGACACGCGCGATTATCAAAGCAATGAAGGCGCGAATCCAACGAAATCCTGTTCATAAACAAAAAATCTTAGCTCTTCAGATGGGCCTAAGCAGAACCACGATCAAAAGAGTGATCAATGAAGATCTGGGAATACGAGCTTATCGTAAGAAGACCGGATATTTTTTGAACGAGCGTTTGAAAAAAGTTAGGCCGGATAAATCTCGCGCTTTGTTACGGCGGTTCGCGGGAAAAAAAATTTTTTGTACCGCCGTAGCAAAATTGTGTTTTTGGATGAAATTTTTTTTAACTTCGATGAAAGTTATAATAAACAAAATGATAAGGTGTATGCACACAGCAGTGAAGAAGCCAGTACGCGTATTCCTAGGGTTCAACGACCACATTATCCTTCTTCAGGTTTCGCTTGGAGTCTCATATTCAGGCTTAACTGAGGTGTTTTTCTGTGAAAAAGGTGTAAAAACCAGTGTCGAGGTGTACCAAAATACCTTCCTAACAAACATAGTGGAACCTCACACAACAATGTTCAAAAACAGACATTGGATATTCCAACAGGACTCTGCACCAGCTCATAGGGCACGAAGCACGCAAAACTGGTTGACCGCCCTTGGAATTGAATTTATCGGAGATGGAGACTGGCCCTTTTCTAGTCCAGATTTAAGCCCACTTGATTACAAGATATGGCAACTTTTGGAGGAGAAAGTCTGCGCTAAACCTCATTAGAATTTGGAATCTTTCCGAGCATCTTTGGCTATAGCAGCGGCAGAAATATATATTGAGTGTGGTGCGTGCTGCAATTGATGATTAGCCGCGTCGATTAAGGGCATGTATTCAAAATAGGGGAGGGTATTTGGAATAATAAAACTAAATTACCTTTCATTTCATATATAATTTCTATATAATTATCAAAAAGTGTATCATTAATTTTATGAAAAAAATTTGACAGAACTTATGACCTGAGTACCCTACGTACCCTACTACCCTACTATAAGTATAACTTCGAATCAAGACTTAAGAACATTTAAGAAAAAAATACCACAAAAATGTATTTAAAATTAATTGTTTTTATTTAATTTATTTTTAATAAAAACAAATAAATGACGGATGATTATCTATATACTTGACAATATCCTCCCAGTTATCTCGCACATCATTAACTTCTCCTTGGATTCTGGTAATTTTCTCTCACTGTGCCATAAGGCTTACGTTAATCCCTTACAAAAGATCCCAAATCCCACTTTACCCAATCATTTCCGACCTATATCCATCCTTCCCTTCTTATCCAAGGTCCTTGAGGCCTGTGTCCACAAGCAACTTTCGCAGTTTATCTCTCGTAATAACTTATTAAGTCCCTTACAGTCTGGCTTTAGGCCCGGTCATAGTACCGTTTCCGCACTCCTGAAAGTAACTGGTGATATTAGGGCAGGCATAGAGGACACTAAAGTCACTGTGTTGGTTTTGGTTGACTTCTCGAACGCCTTTAATACCATTAGTTATGACATTCTAATTTCCATCCTTTCCCTTTCTATGATCTCACCCGAAGCACTGGATTGGTTTTCATCATATCTTCGAGGGCGCCAGCAGTCGGTTCGCATCGATGAGCTATCATCTAGCTGGCTTGACATACATGCTGGTGTCCCTCAAGGCGGCATATTATCTCCTTTGTTGTTTTCTATATTTATTAATCTCATTACTCAAAACCTTCAGTCTGCATATCATCTGTATGCTGATGACTTGCAATTGTACACACAAGCGAGTATTGACGATATTTCTACAGCGGTGGACATACTTAACAGGGACCTTGAGTACATTAAGAACTGGTCTGACAGGTTTGGCCTAATAGTCAACCCTTTGAAGTGTCAGGCCATAATAATTGGTAGCCGTCCGATGATCCAGAGATTGAAAACAGTAGCTCTACCTCCTATCTTTTTTATAGTACTGAGATTCAATTGTGTTCCACTGTGAAGGATCTGGGTTTATTAATTGATTCTACTTTGAGTTGGAAAGCCCAAACAACAACTGTTAGCCAGAAAGTCACTGGTAGCCTGCGTTCTCTCTATCGCCTAAAAAATTTTCTACCATGTGAAATTAAGACAATGCTTGTGCAGAGTTTAATTTTTCCCCTAATCGACTATGGTGATGTGTGTTATTTCGACCTGAATGCAGATCTTCTCAACAAATATGACCGTCTTCTGAATAACTGCATTCGATTCATTTTCAATCTTCGAAAATATGACCATGTATCCACGTATCGATCTCAATAAAATGGTTACCTATTCGTCAACGCCGATGTTTGCGTGCACTCACCACCCTTTATTCTATCCTGATGTCTCCAACTTCCCCTTCCTAATTCCTTTCCTTAGTTTCAGTAGCTTAGTGCTAGTCATGAGAAAAACCTCCGCTCTACGAAAAACCTTCTTCTCCTATGTCCCTCCCATAGCTCTGGACTTGTTCACTCTTCTTTCCACATTCAATCTATTCTCCTT